CTATGTAATACTTCAGTATAGATTTTGTACACAAAAGAATTCGGCCTCTCTTCTGAGGGGAAGATTTATCAAAGGAGCTTTAGAAAATGCTGGGGATATTAAATATATTTATATTACACGGAAATAGTTTTTTTTTTCGTTCGATTTTTTTTCACTTACTACACCAAAGCATGCTTTGGTTCAATAGGGCAGTTACAATGCAGGGCAACAGTTTTAACGGAACAATTTTTTAAAACAAATTGTGATGGTGGTTTTACTTAGATGCATCGGCCGTATAACAGGTGATAGGGTAAAGGGAATGTTTGACTTGATAGTAGCACTATTATAATTATTAAGCAGGTGTTTTAAAAATTGGAATTCATAAGCAATGAGAAACATGATTTGATAAGTACGACATACAATAAAATAGATAAGATCAAACAAATTAACTGGTTTTTAAAATTGGTTTCATTTGATAGATTGAAACTAAGGAATCCTCTGGAATTTTGCTGACGTCACAACATATCTACTGCTTTGGGGGGGGGGGGGGGGTTCTTTCCTTTTGATCCGGGTGACCCGATTTGCCCCGTGGTTACACACGAATGCACGTGCTTTGAGCGTGAGTAGACCAACCTGCCTTGTGTAAGATTAGGGTTCGTCAACATGTGGGTTTATAAGGCAGCGCTGTGTTGTGTTCGTGGGAAATGGTGGAGAGAAAACTAAACATATGTAGGCCACACAGGGGCCACATACATGAGCCACACACGTACAGGGGCCACACATGAGCCACACACATACAGGAGCAACACACATGAGCCACACACATACATGAGCCATACACATGAACCACACACATACAGGAGCCATACACATGAGCCACACACACACATGAGCTACACAGTTGAGTCACACAGATCAGCACAAGACACACACAGTGCCAACAAGCATCAGCCACATACCTTATCACCACAAGTGAGCAACACATACAAACCACAATGACACCACACATATAAACCACACTGACTCTCACCACACATACAAACCACACTAATACCAACCATTCACCAAACCACAGTGACACTAACCACACATAAAAACCACACTTACACCAACCATCATTATCTGTTGTTGTTTTTTTATTTCGTAAGGAGGTTGGGGGTGAACGTGCCCCCCCCCCTCTCCCCCCCTGGCCCCGTAACCCAGAAGCCTAAACTAAACTATTACAACTAAAATACCAATATTCTGCAATTCATTACTTTGTGGTAAACCGAATATGACGAATGTCGCAAGAACCGATGTGAAGTAGAGAATATTTTCTCAACATTGAGCCATCGTGTGAACACACACGATCCTTTCTTCAACTATTGACACAACTAACTCGGGTTCACAGCGTGCAGTTAGATACACGCGTTTGTGTGTGCTTTTTTGTGTTAATATTGGGCAATCAAACAATTTTGAAAGATCTCGACATCAAACTGTTTAAAAAAGGAAATTTGTGTCATGTTATGTAGGGATGGGATAAAGCTGGATGATAGTACGTCGTTATAAATACGGGACAGAAATCCCAACGACTGATGTATGAATATTAAAAAAAATATACAACAACCCGATAGCCTTGTAGTAATTGATGTAAATACAATGAAAATCTTTTAGAGTATCGCGTTACTAATACAGTATATGAATTATTAATGAACATCAAGTCTTATTTCTGACTTTAATCATTATTTGTGTAGACTTACTTAATAATGATTGTCTTTTTATTGCTGTCAAGAAATGTATTTATTTCTAAAGTGCTTTAAATTCGAGATAGATTTGTTTAGAGGGAGTATTACATTTAGAATAGCTTTTCTATTAAAGAGCAGTTTTGAGGTAGCATTCTGTTTTAAATGTCGGTTAAAATATGCTTAAGCGAAGTATTCTGTTTTATTTATGTTAATTAAAAAAAAAAAAATTTCTTTTTAGACCTAGCTATCTATTGCGTAGATATGATATGTTTCTTCGCCTGAACATGAGTAAGTTAGATACCTATCAGATGTGGGTGAATACAGGGATGTCCTACAGGTAGACGTCTAAACCGTGATTCGAACTCAAGACATTTGGGCTTAAACCCAATCGCTCAACCAATTGACCACTCCGTCCAACGTGTGTTAAAAAAAAGAAGAAAATAAGTTTATCAACGTGGGGCATGTCGTCTACATATAGCCTATAGCGGAACTTGGATTTTAGAAATAGAAAATGTAATCAATTGATTTAAATTAGTTCCAATTTTTTTTCAGCCAATTAAAGGAAAATATAAAAGTCACGTATTATCTAATTAAGTTTTTGATGCAGAGCCACAACAAGACAAAGTTAAAGAGCTTTTACTAATCCTTTATTTTTTTTTATAGTTCAACCAAAGCCAACACTGGTTGGAGTGCTTAATCATATGCTATTGTTTTTTCCACACTATATATATATATATATTTGTTATATATATATATATATATATATATATATATATATATATATATATATATATATATATATATGAGAGGAAAAAAGTAATCGAACGAGTCTGCATTTTATGCCATGGAAAGCATCAGTATTATCTTAGTGTTTGAGATTCATTCGTATTACGTTTGAAATTGTGTGAGAAAATTAGAGGGGAGGGGAGGGGGGGTTGTCGATATCAAATGAAAATTGAAAAGAAAAAAAGCGTTCTCCTTTTAATTTAACGGTTTAACGGTTTAAGTTATGAAGAATTTCTCGTTGGCTGTTGAGGAAAAAAATGCCATCTGTTGGTAATGTAATGCTAGTACTTTTTTAGCTTAGCTAATGAGGCGGATTAATAGAAACATAATCTCGCAAAGCTCGAGATCATTTAATCCCAAGATGTATAGTATATTCATATATATATATATATATATATATATATATATATATATATATATATATATATATATATATATATGTGTGTGTGTGTGTGTGTGTATATATCAGACACAATACATAGGTGTCAACTCTATTTAGACTTCACATAACATAGCACATGTATCAAAACAAACAATTTTTTTAACAAAAGAACAAACAATACGCAAAATGCATTGTTCCATGTTTTTTCATTAACTGAAGTGTATTTTCCAATAACTGGCCAGGCTTTTCAAAGATTTACTCTAGCTAATTAGATATTTTTTTTTCTTAATCAGTAACTCACCTCTGCAATAGTGCTGTTTCTCGTGCAATATTTAGCCGGTTAACTGAGTGAGGTACATGCGAACTTTCTCGTCCGAACGTGGGTAGCTACATCTTACAGTACTAGTTTACTAGTTAACGTTATGGGGGGGGGGGGGGGGTGGGGGGTGGGTAAGGGCGGAATAAAAATGATGATAAATTGAAAAAAACAAAATTGAAGAATAGGAAGAAAGAGATGACGGGAGAAAGGAAAAGGAAGAGAGTTGATAATAAGGATCAACACATTGAACGTGTAAACGAAAAGAAAATTGGAAAAAAAAATACTAGTAGGAGAAAGAAAAGCAGAGTGAAAACGAGGATGAAAAGGAAAGCAGAAAACAAGGAGAAAAAAAAACGAGGAAAAAAAGGATGGAGAAAAAGATCAAAATATTAAACACGAAATTGAGGAAATAAAAGGGAGAAAGAAAACGAGGAAGTAAAAAAGACCCTCGATAACGAAGACAAGACGAGGAGATCTGAGCCAAGTACAATTTACCATCCCACAATCCCCGCCCCACTTCACCAATCTCCCATTAACACTAACATCGTCTTAGTGTTTAATTACTGATAAAATAACAAGCCCTTGAGCCTGCGACAGCCACTAACGGCTGGTCATTTCTATTGACCCCCCATGGCCTACAGCTGTTGCAGCTGTTCAATAGCCCGACACACGACCCAAAATAAACCCGTCCTTTCATACAGTCGTCTCTCGATGTTCACTCGGGCAGAATCGTGACGTACAGTACGTCCGCCGAACTACAATGCTTTCTCGCAGTACATTTGGTCGACCTCGGTGTAAAAAAAAATTGGCCGTTAAATTCTATATTTATTAATGTACATTAATTAATCAAATAGTACGTCATTACATTCTTTATTTCTCTGTATTAATTATATCCTACTAATCAAAACATTTTTTAAATTTCTATCTTTAAAAAAATAACATACGTCAAGAAAAAAAAATTAGTTTATTAAAAAAAAAAGTTAAATATAACTAAATATAGTTCAGACGTGATGACGTCATCAGTCTTTGTGTTCACATACCATAAAATCATTAATTTTTGTGTTCCTTGTCAATATCAAATTATTTGTATTTATTTTTTCCGGGAAGAGTTTTTTTAAAATGTCCAAACGAGTGTCATATAGTTCTATTATGGTTAACCGAATGACGTCATTAGTAATTGATTAAAAAAATATGCCAATTATATAACTTACTTTTGGCAAGGCATTTGACAGCTTCTAACTTGAATTAGCACACAACTGTAACTACTGTAAACAGTTGGTAAAAAATAATTTACACAGACCAAAGGCGAGGACCTTCAGGCTTGTAAGGTTTTTCTTGCATTCTTTACATATCCTTCCCTCTTTACCCACCATATCCTCTTTACACACCATTACCTCTTTACACACCTTCCCTCTTTACACACCATTACCTCTTTACACACCTTCCCTCTTTACACACCATATCCTCTTTACACACACCTTGCTATTTTTACACAACTTGCCCTCTTTACACATCCTATCCTTTTTAGATAACCTGCACTCTCAACACACTCTGAGGTCTTTACACACCCTTCCCTCTTTACACACCCTTCCCTCTTTACACACCATATCATCTTTACACACACCTTGCTATTTTTACACATCTTGCCCTCTTTGCACATCTTGCCCTCTTTACACATCCTGCCCTCTTTACACATCCTGCCCTATTTACACATCCTGCCCTCTTTACACATCCTGCCCTCTTTACACATCCTGCCCTATTTACACATCTTGCCCTCTTTACACATCCTGCCCTCTTTACACATCCTGCCCTATTTACACATCTTGCCCTCTTTACACATCTTGCCCTCTTTACACATCTTGTCCTCTTTAGATAACCTGCACTCGCAACACACCCTGAGGTCTTTACACACTCTTCCCTCTTTACGCACCATATACTCTTTACACACTCTTCCCTCTTTACACAAACTACTCTCTTTAAACACACTTCCCTCTTTACACACCCTTCCCTCTTTACACACCCTTCCCTCTTTACGCACCATATCCTCTTTACACATCCTTCCCTCTTTACACACCATTCCCTCTTTACACAAACTACCCTCTTTACACACCCTTCCCTCTTTACACAGCCTTCCATCTTTACACACCCTTCCCTCTTTACACACCATCTCCTCTTTACACACCATTCCCTCTTTACACAAACAACTCTCTTTACACACCATGCACTTAACACTAGAAACACATTTTGTGTGTGTATAACACCGTACCATCCTGCACTCTTGACCCAAACTGTAGCAATCATCTCTAGCTATTTATTTAACTAATGAACTATTTGTATGTACATGGATACTCTAGACCCCAGCTGTATCCATCATCTGTAGCTATTTATTTAACTAATGAACTATTTGCCTGCACGGGAATATGCTGACCAGCTGATACATGTAAACTGTGGGCAGCTGTTGTATCAACATATAACAATAACAGATATGATTGTTGGAGGTCCGATCGATTGGTTATTGTATTGAAACAATCGATTTGGTTAAATACTTGGTTAACATTCAACTTTATCTGGCCTTTTGAAGGCGGAGTATAAATATAGCTTTCTGATAAGTTTGGTGTTTTGTGTTGGTAGTGATGGTATGTGTGGTGTTTTGATAGTGATGGTAGGTGTTTCGTGTTGATAGTGATGGTAGATGTGTCGTGTTGATAGTGATGGTAGGTGTGGTGTGTTGATAGTGATGGTATCTGTGTCGTGTTGATAGTGATGGTAGGTGTTTTGTGTTGATAATGATGGTAGGTGTGTTGTTTTGATAGTGACAGTAGGTGTGGTGTGTCGTGTTGATAGTGATGGTAGATGTGTCGTGTTGATAGAGATGGTAGGTGTGTCGTGTTGATAGTGATAATGTATGTGTTCTGTTGAAGTTGATGGTAGGTGTTGTGAAGAAATACACATAGGTAAATGAGGAAGCACATACGGATGGTCGAGCAAGGAACAACATATATAAGGTAGGGATAAAATTACGTACATATGTTAGAACAGTTGCCTTAAGATTGTGTTTGTGTTACATATAAAAGATCCATTAAGTGTGCGTTTGTGTGTGTGTTGGGAAGAGGGAGAGGGGGGTCTGTGTGTGAGAGAGAGACGGAAAAGTTCCCTGTAGCAAAGTGTTGTTACTTAACTGCCGGTTTGTCATAACAAAGCAACAAATCAAAGCTACCCCCACGGGAAGCCGTGTGTACCACATTGAGATCACCTACCTAGACTTGTGTTGAGCTTTGAAGTATGCTGTAATCAGGTGTATTTAAAGCCCTGTGTGGGCGGTGTGGTTGCAGGTGATTGTGGTTTTGAAGTACGAGCCTACCCGCGGCGTAGCATATGCCGCTAATAAATGGTTTTATTTTCTGCCTTTCATAGCGATATGGTCTGTTGCGCATGCGTGGAGAGCAAGGGTGAGGGCGGGAGGAGGGTTAGATAGTCGGCTTGCGTGTATGATACTGATTATGAAGTATGATACTGATTTTGAAGTATGATACTGATTATGAAGTATGATACTGATTATGAAGTATGATACTGATTGTGAAGTATGATACTGATTATGAAGTATGATACTGATTATGAAGTATGATACTGATTATGAAGTATGATACTGATTATGAAGTATGATACTGATTATGAAGTATAATACTGATTGTGAAGTATGATACTGCTTATGAAGTATGATACTGATTGTGAAGTATGATACTGATTGTGAAGTATGATACTCATTATGATGTATACGTTTAATAATCGGAAGTAATTGGATTTATTTTTAGTTCGAGTCGACTCAGCGCCGGTTGATACCTGGCCATGGAACGTCACTGAGTCACATCCGTCCTCTTGGGTAGTACTCAGCCACGATGGAATTCTGCCTATAGACGCCATGAACCTTTTCAGTCCTAATTGTTATATGTTTTTAGACTTCGATAGCCACTTGTTGTATGCACTAATAAGTAACAAGCATTAGTTAGTGAATATAATTATGCTATTGTACATAATTCCTGTCACTGAATACTTGACTTACAGCTTTAAAATAATTGTCTTCATTAAACAAAAATTACGGATGATTACTTTTCTACCCCTCCCTCCATACCCCTCTCTGCAGAACGTCTCATATTAAAACACATATTTCTACTTATATTAAAACACATATTTCTACTTATATTAAAACACATATTTCTACTTATATTAAAACACATATTTCTACTTATATTAAAACACATATTTCTAGTTATATTAAAACACATATTTCTACTTATATTAAAACACATATTTCTACTTATATTAAAACACATATTTCTACTTATATTAAAACACATATTTCTACTTATATTAAAACACATATTTCTACTTATATTAAAACACATATTTTTACTTATATTAAAACACATATTTAATCATAAAAGATATGTTAAGTAAAGGTTTATCTTGCAAATAGTGAAGTTAACTCACGCCACAACAAGATTCAACACTCCAGCCATCAACGACACATACCCAGCATTGCGAGCCCATCCACCTCTTCAACTTTTTCTTACAATATTTCGATAATTTGTACACATTGTGATGACAAAATTAATAGCCGGGGATCGGAAGAAATGGAAGGAAATGGTGGAGGCCCTATGTTCCATGAGGAGCAAAGAGGACTAAGTCAAGTGTACATTGAAGTCCCAGTTTTTCACAATTTCTGACCTGAAAGCAGTGATATATTTTTTATACTGAACATCTCCTGCAATATTCGTATTTGTTTATGGAATATCCAGCAAATTAAACGGCAATAAGGTATGAATAATTCACATGGTGTTTACTGTACTGCATAAGAAAGGGGATCTTTTTGTGGGGAATCAAAGACAGGGGTACTTCAGCAGGTCAAAACAATGTAATTTCCTTGGGGTGGGGCCAGGGGAGACAAATATATTTCCTAAGGGAAGAGAGTTACGGTCCCGGTGCCTATTTGTTCCACGAAGCTGGAATTATTCATGATCTTGACGACCGAGCTGGGTGACGAGTTTAATGTTTGGTCACGTGATTGCGTCACGTGGTCGTGTTCTCACCCCAGGTGACGTGATCTAGGGTTACACTGTGTTGTACTACATCTGTGTTTAACCGTTTGTGTTTAACTTTATGTGTGTTTAACCGTCTGTGTTTAACCATCGGTGTGTTTGACCGTCTGAGTTTAATTATCGGTGTTTTCACGTATCAGAGTAGGTGGCACCCCGTAAGTTAGTAGAACAATCTAACCCAAATCTTGAACCTAACCCTAACATTCATCCCACAAGTAAAGTTACAGACAATTTATATTGATCATGGATTTGTGTTTATTCAATACGTTTTAAAATATAGAACATTTAAAAAAAAACCAACGTAATGGATGAAAGATGTTAGATTAATCGGATCCAGTTGTGTTTATTAATTGAACGTTTTTTATTTGAACATCTGTACATTTGGATAGAGGCTATACTTAGAAGGGCTGGCTAATTGTAAGTCTACTAAGGAGACGAAATGTGTACCAATCATATTATTTCTAACATGCCCAAAATGAAGCCATAGGAAGTTGGAAAGGGGTGGGGTGGGGGGAGATGATGTCCTAAGGATTGTTACAGACAGTATAAAAAGGCCAGGGGAGTGAATAATTAAAAGAAGCTGATGAAATAATTAAAATTTGACAATTTGATGAAAAAAATGGAGAGAGAGTTGTAGATGAAGAAGCGGAAAAGTCGAAAAAAAAGAAAAAAAAAGGAATATTAATCTCCTAAAGTATTGATTGATTAGCCCGGTCACGAGGTCGTCAAAATAGACGTTTGGGGGGTGACAGGTCTAAGGTTTGCTTCCACCCACACCCCATACTCCCCCCACCTCTCAGCATCCTAGGGGAGGGGAAGAACGTCATAGAAGCGTCAGTCTTGTGACGTCAAGCTGTCTAGAAATAGGATCACTGACCGAGTATTTATAGAGGTTAGAGTGAGAGTAGTGGAAAAGGATTCGTTTTGTTTCACAGCTTTTGTTATTTAAAGGCGTAGTTTCTCCCTCAGGAGATTCTCCCTTCATTTGTTTTGACGTATACTACCTTCATTACATGGAGTACTGTATTGGGGAGGAGAAAGGCTATTGAGTAGAGATTAAGCATAATGTAAATCCAAAAACGGGCGGGGGGCTGTAGAGGATTAGGAGGGATTAACTTATCATCTAAGTTGTACCTATGTTGAGTTCGAGTGACCGACGCTGAGCGAGGGTTGGAAGATCTGAGTCGGCAAGAATGAACGGGAAAACCCGGAGTATACGCTTTCTGGATCAAGGTGTCTGAGCCCTCAGTCCTTCGGGGATAGAGCGGAAGTTCGGGGTTGACCTTCGTTGGGGTTAAAGGTCAAGAAAATGTACTTTTTCTAGAAATTTAAAGTCGTATGAACAAGTAAGCTATAAAAGGAATGAAAAATAATATAGCGTAAATAGTCGTTATAATTACGCGTAGAACTAGCATTCGAGGAAAAAAACTTTAAATAATACTTTAAATACCGGATGCATAAGAAGTTATTATCAGAGTGTTTGATGTTACTTGCTTTTGCAGTTATACAGCACTTTGTTTTATTTATTTTATATCGGAGGTCTACTAGACATTGCAAAATGTACATGTGTCCACTTGAAATTTCTAGATACTATCTAAAAACAAAAGCAAAAGAGAGGATGCCTACGCCAGTATATATATATATATATATATATATATATATATATATATATATATATATATATATATATATATAGGTCGCAGCCAATACTCGGAGCATGTCCATCCTACACATCTAACCTATATATGTCCTTCCATATATTCTCCCATCCAACGTAATCTTATTTCTATTTTGTGCACACATTAAAAAAAAACATTTCAAGGACGTCACGTAGATGCAGCATAAAATTGACGTCATAAATCAATCCACCCTACTCTCCCCCTCCTCACAACATGAACCACGCCCCCATTTTTTTTTCTCATCAAAAAATATTTTTAAATGTCTCCCTCCCCCCCCCCCCCCCACCTTGTCATTGAATAGGGTGGATTCCAATAATTTTGTTATCCGCCTTCTTAAGCTGCAACCTAGGCGTGCTTAACTGTGGCAAGTGGGGTCAGGACGTGACGTCAGGGGCGGTGCTGGCGTTTGA